GGACTGGACATGGCCACCATGGAGAAGCTGATGAAAGCCTTCGAGTCGCTGCGCTCCTTCCAGCAGCAGCAAGGGCCGGCTGCTATCCCCGAGGAGCCGCTCCAGAGACCGTGAGTGACCGGGCACGGGGAGGGCTCCCTTCCCCTTCTCTTACCCGCGCCCCGCAGGCTCCTGAAACATTTCGGTGACATCCTCCCCTGGGGAAGGAGAAGTCTTATCTTATGTCTTCCCCAAACTCCTTCTCCTCCTCCCTGGGCTGCTGCCGCTCGGGAGCTGCTGACGGTCTGAGCGACAGCTGGTAGCCGGGCGCTGCCCCGGAGGAGTTACCCTCGGGGCGCTTTCCTCTCCTTGCGGGAGGCTGTACTTGTGGACGTGGCTAGGAGCGCTGCCTGGCGCTAGTTTTTTGTTTGTGAATTTTAAAAGTAGCGGTAACTTTCTGGGTAAATGCATTTGACCATACAGGGGTTCGGACAGTGGACAAGAGAGAGAGCGATGCTGTATCGCTTTCATGGGCTGCTTCTAGAAAGCAAAATGTTATTTTCAGCTAACACACTGTTGAAAAACAGCAGAAAATGAGCATGACTTAAAGTCTAAGCTCTGAATGCATTTGGGGTAGTTGACGTGAATGTCTATTTATGACAAACTTCATTTGAAATCTTGTCCTGTGACTGATTTGCTGTGGTGATTACCAAGAAGAATTAATTTAAACGTTTCTGATGTCCTTTTGCTTTCTGAAAACATTAGGGGCAAACACACTGAAGAGGCATCTTTTTGCATCCGTGTGATGTTCTGGTGTCCCATCCTAGTGCTTTATTGGAGGACAAAGGCACGAAGCTGTTCAGTACCAGAGTGCTGCCCGCTACATTAGCGTTCTCTAAAAATAAACTTTATTGAACAGGTGAAAAAGCACTGAGATTTTTACTAGATAAATACGTGAGTCACATTATTGTTTTTGCTCCAGATATCAGTGAAAGAGGAGAAGCAGAAGGGCTGAGGAGCAGGTAAGTTCTAAATTGGCAGTTTGAGTGTTTTGGCAGACGATGATAAGCAGTGGAGCTGGGCTCTTAGCCACCTGCTCCCACAGTACACTCTGATATGTTTGCCAACTAAATTATCATGGTTCATACTGTTTGGAGAGTGTTGTCTCAAACAATCTCAGTGCGTTTTCACACTTTCAGGGCATAACGGATGAAAAAGTTGGCTCATCCCTCCTTTGTGAGCCAGTTCTTTTTAGATGTCTTTCTGTTTCGCAGGGACTTATTGCTCTATGAGGTGCTTTTTTTTTTTGTGTGTGTGCTAGTACTTCATGTGACATGGTAGGTGGACATCTATTTCCAATCTTTCTTATATGGAGTGGGGAAAAAAAATCTATCTAAAAAGTTATCGGTAAGATAGATCATGTTCTTAAAGAAAGGCTTGTTAATTATTTGTGATGCTCAGTGAGGGGATGTGATGCTCAGTGAGGGGATGTAATGCTTCTGGTTTGAGGTTCTGAATTTAGGCCTGGTATACTCAAACCATTAAAAACCAAGGTTTGTAATTGTTCTTGCTGACTATGCTTTGTGTTTAAAAATAGACTGCATATTTTCAGAAAGCTGATAGTGTTGCATGCCTCCAGGAACTATACAAATTCAGTAATAGCACTAAGCCTCACCAAAGCCTGTGAAAGGACCTTGTGGCAGTCTTTGCTGAAGAAGTTTCCCAAACTTCTGGTTAAATACCAGGTGACATCTTGAATGTAATTCACACTTCTGTCTGTGTTTTGTGGTAATGGACTTGAAAACGCATTGTCATTTTTCCTTTCCTTACCTTCCTGGGAGAAATGATTGTCTTAATTGTGGTTGTGTATAAGTCGCACTTAAATCTTTTGTTGTTCTGTATGGTAACTTCCTATCTCTTATCCGTGTACTGCTGTAAAAAGGAGTGTCACTCTCTCAGTCGATAATGAGAGAACAAATGAATTGGTGAATGTCATAGGCAAAGTGCTAATAGTTTACTCTTCAATTGTTTCGTTAAATAGACATTTAACGCTGTCTGTTAGATTGGAGTTGCCTTGTTGCCTAAACTAGATGACAGGCTGACATTCCTTCAGTT